GTGCTGTAATTGGTTGACTGTTTTTGATCATAGATGTCTACGATCTCTTCCTCACGTTAGGTGGTATAATAAGGTAAGTAATGTTGACGTTAGGCGTAGAGTGTTGGGCAAAGAAGGAGAATCAATCGAAGAGGCTATAAAGTTGCATAGATTGAGATGGCTAGGTCACTTGCTGCGCATGCCTAACCATCGCCTCCCCTGACGGACATTACTAGCTGATATAGGTGCAGGTTGGAAAAGAGCTAGCTAGTGGTGGCCAAACAAAAACATGGCATCAACCCACGAAAGCCTTGACAGTTGAACTGAGTCAGGTAGGGAGATGCAGACTTCCGGGTCGGGGCTCTCGGGACCCTAAGAATCAATGGCTGGAGACACTAGGTGACATGGCTCAAAATCGTTGTCAATGGCTTACGCAGATGTATTCAGTCTCTGTAATCTTTTATATTCCTTTCTACCATTACTCATTCTGTTTCACTCTTATACTTGTCAAAACTCTATTGATTCTCTTCACTCATTTTCTTGTCTACCTTTGTGTGCTATTTGGAACGTGACAACTCGAACTGCTGCACTTCGGTGCCAAGTTCTATATTGAATCCAGCTGTGATTGGTTGGTGAGTTTCTCAAGGTTAAGTAAATTTTGTTGCTGTTTTTTCTCATGACCCCGATTCAGGACGTAAACATTGACGTATATTGTCATCTACAATTTTGGCTTGCAGACAGCTCTCACCACAGTATCACAAAGCAACGATTAAATGATATATTTATTTTTTTAATTTTATTTTTGATTACAGCTTGATGCCACACCGTATTTTCAGTACAAGTATGGCATTTTCAGCATGGATATCGATAGCCCAAATTTCGCAGGCCAACCATAGATATCGGATATGCGTCGGCAGGGGATCGAACCCCGGACCATGTGCATGGTCGGCGAGAGTCCTAACCACCTGACCCGGGAGATCTCAGATATAATCATTTCCTTAGGAAAAATGTATGCACATCACTGAGTAATTCAGATAGTGACGGCAACAAGTGCATTCGGTGCTGCTTAACTTCAATGGTTCTCCAACTCCGGTCGGTCGGTCGGTTTTCCACATAGAACTTTGCACATATGTGTGGCGGTTCAAGTCGCCACACGCCCTCCATGTAGCACACAAAGCAAGAGAAGAAACTAGGAGAAATGCATAATATAGGCAGTAAACAGAGGTGTGAGACAGGAATCGTAATAACGAAGAACAGAACAGTTTAATTGGAAATCATAAGTCACAAGGAATGGATGTATCTGTGCCACTCAGAACGATTTTGAGCCATATCACCGATTGTATCCAATCATTGGTTTTTACCGTCCCCAGGACACCAACCAGGAAGTCTACATCTTCCTACGTGGCTGGCTTAAACTAACTGTTGTGGATTTCATTGACTGATAAAGCCATGTTTTCGTTTGACCGCCGCTAGCTCTTTTCCAGCCTGACCTTATGTCGGCTAACATTGCCCGTCCAGGAAGGCGATCGATTGCCAGGCATGCATGGGTAACACATGTCCTAATCATCTCAGTCGATGTAATTTCACAGCCTCGACGTCGATTGATTTCCCCTCCTTACCTAGCACTCGACCGATGCCTAACCTCAATATTGCTCACCTTATTATACCACTTCACACGGGAGATAGAACACAGACACCTATGATCAAAGACAGCTAGCCTGTTTTCCATGTCTTCCACTCTCAATGGCCAGATCTCACTCGCAGCCATAAAGGAAGACGGAGCGGACTGATGAGCAGTACACCCGCTCTTTGGTCAATAGCCAATCGGATATCACGTCTACGCCAGAGACCGCGTAAACTGGTATATGCGAAACTAGCCCTCTGTATTCGTGCTGAGATTTCGTCAGAGATCAACCCGTTTGGGCTGATGGTACTTCCCAAGTAAGTGAATTGGTCAACGTGCTCTACCACTTCACTTCCTATTTCTAATCTACGGGTTGGTGAAGTCCAATCTTGCAGCATCCTCTTACATTTTACAGGGGTGAATCACATGCCAAACATACGAAGATTGTTGCTCAAGGTGTTCAGTAGACTCTGCATTTTGTCAGCGTCCTCGCCTAGAAGGACTATATCGTCCACATATTCTAAGTCGACGAGATTATTCCCTGGTAGCAAGTCAATCCCTGAGTCGCTGAAGTGTGTTAGGGTTAAGTCCATTAGTGCATCTATGATGAAGTTGAATAGGAATGGGGATAATGGGCATCCTTGACGGACACCACTTCAGATGACAACTCGCCATAAGCCCTCACCTGGCAGCATGAGTACGAGTAGAGTACCCTAATCAGTGCAATGTATTTACTCGGCATTCCCTTTACAGCCAAGCATCGCCAGAGAACCTCTCGGTCGACAGAATCGAATTCCGCCTTTAGGTCTCCAACTACTATCTTTTGGAGACGAAATCTACCTCCTTACTTAATCGTAATCCCCAGAAAACAACTTGGTGAACTCCACTAGTCATAACTTCTCACCAACAGGTCCATCAAGTTGGCTGTTAAGATAAAAATACTGACATGGCGGGGTAGCACCACAGTATCCAAAAATTAGCAGAATTTAGAATTCATGGCACATTGGATTCCGTCCCAGTAGCTGAATGACGATCAGCAAACCTGCCTTGTAACCTGAAGGTCCTGAATTTGATTCCTGGTCAGATCAGTCATGAATGCTTGCCGCTGAAGAGCCTCGAAAGCATATGACAAACCAGTACTTACGATCCAGTAATAATTAAATTAGGCATCAGTCGAGTGTTAGGTGAGGAAGGAAAATAAATTCGACGGGATTGTGAAACTAAGTCGATGCCTGGCCATCACTTTTCCCACGACAAGTAAGTAATCTTACCTGACATAGGATAGATCAGGTTGCAAAAGAGCTAGTGGTCGCCAAACCAAAACATGACTTCATCAGTCAACGAAATCTTTATTAGTTAATTTGAGCCAGCCAGCCAACTAACCAACCAAGTAGAGAGGTGTAGACTATTGATATAAGTATAAAACTTGGGCACTGTGCTGGTAGAGCATAACTCCATTATGGATAAGATTTTATTTTGATAAATCACACAGTGTTGTACAGTAATATTAACTGATGGCCACGTTTCGAGCACAAACTATTGCCACTCATAATCATATCAAGGCATTACTCACACAACTTTTTTCTTTCATTTATAAACATGTGTGGAATCGATTAGATATTTGAAAAAAAAATCAATCAGAAATAATAATATGAGTGTTATTCATCAATTACAATTAGATGGGAAATAAGACGAGTGTTTTTATAGTCATAATAAGTAACTTCTTAGAATGTTGTGATGTACGTGAATTGAAATAGAATAAATAAATATAAGAGAATATAAGTCATCCACTGTTATACCATATATGGAGGGGACATCTGAAACCCTACGTAGGATTCTTAATAAAGCAGAAATTAGGATGGCATTCAAACCTAAAAACTCACTCAGGGTCTGGCTCTGTAGGTTAAAGGACACTGCTGACCCAATTAGACAAAATAGTATAATTTACAAAATACCCTGCAATGACTGTGAGTTAAGTCAAGTACATAGGTGAAACTAGTAGGTCGGGGACAGTCAGATTATTAGAACATAAGAATTTAGCTAAGGGAAGAATGTTTGACCCTGAAAAGATGAGTAATTTACAAAAAAGTTCAGCAATTGCACTTCACGCATTAACAAACAACCACACAATAGGGTGGGACAGAGTCAAAATTCTAATAAGTAATATAAGTAGGTGGAGAGCGAGGGGGGTTGATTACTGAATCCTGGTTCATTGAGTCTACATCCAACACATGTAACAGAAATGAGTCGATGCAAATACCAGAGATATGAAAGATATTATTACCAACAGTCAGTCAAATCAGAGGAGGATAATAAATAATCTCAAAATTCTATTTCAATTCAAGTACATCACAACATTCTAACAAGTTACTTATTATGACTATAAAAACATTCATCTTTTTTCCCATCTGACTGTAATTGATCAATAACACTCATATTATTATTTCTGATTGATTTTATTCAAATATTTAATCAATTCCACACATGTTTATAAATGAAAGAAAAAAGTTGTGTCAGTAACTTGATTTGATTATGAGTGGCAATAGTTTGTGCTCGAAACGTGGTCATCAGTTAATATTACTGTACAACAACACTGTGTCATTTATCAAATAAAATCTTATCCATAATGGAGGTGCAGACTACCTGACTGGTTGGGGTCCTCGGGATTCGAAGAACCAGTAGGTGGAGAAAATTTGTTGTGGTAAGGCTCGAAATCATTCTCTGTGATGGCTGGCGCATATACATTCACCCTTCGTGATTTATCATAACCAATTAAACTCTATTGTTCTTCCGTATTACTATTCTTTCTCCCTGAACTTCTGTTGATTACTTCTCTCTCTCTCTGCTATTGCTCTGTGTGCTACATGGAGTATGGCAACTAGAACTGCTCGACATCTGTGCGAAGTAGTTCTACGCTGAAACCAGTCATTCAGTATCCAGTAATTCCTGATGGTTTCCAAAGCTGCTCTAGCTGAAGTCATTTCGTGATCAAACACACGTGGAATCAGGATTTCATCATGAGCTGACATTGGTTAGAGAACCATTGGAAAACCTGCCAGAGAGTACTGGACAGCTGTTTCGTCAACCTAGTTCGAGACTCTTCATCAGTACGCACCCACCGACATCATTCAAACCCAGGACCTTCTGATTACAAGGCGAGTTCGTAGACCAATCATTAGCCACTGGGACCCGATCCAATGGCCAGTCCATGAATTCTAACTTCTGCCAATTTACGATATAGCGCGACCACTAGCCAATGTCTTCCGCTAATATTTGTCCTCACACCCGACCTGCTGTACCCTACTGGTCACGACTTCTCACTAGAACCTCAGGTAACTACCTACCTATCCCTGCAAAAGAAACCAACTACTTGAAGACTGACATCATTGTAAAATAAGGCTGAATGATTTTTTATTGTACAATTAATTATTTACTATGTACAAAGTAACAGTAATAACTTTCTGTCCTCTCCTTCTTATTTATTCATTTATTTAGTGTGTTCATGTGTGTTAGATAATTTAAACCAATACTTTGATTAACACGTCGTCTTTCTTGTCTAGCTATTGATCGCCAATCTTGTCTTTCTTTCCAAAATTTAGCCCATGCAATTGTAGAATTTTGATCACGTTGACCATTTTCAAGTGAAATACTCTTCTCCAATTCATCATCGTCATCCCCGTCACCGAAATCTTCAGATACCTGAAACAACAACAACAACAAATAGTAAAAGAATAAAGTGGGGAATGACTGATTAACTGACTGGTTTCAACAGAGACCTTTTGTGTAGAAGTGCAGCAGTTCCACAGAGGAAGATAAAAGAGGAAACAAAGAGGGCGACTCTTAACTATAACAGCCCAAAATGAAACTACCCCTAATAAAGACCTTGACAAATGCCTATCGACTAATCAGACACGTCCGAAGAGCAGAAATGCGCAATTTGAAGAAGACGATTGTTATAAAAGTAGTCATGCGACATTAAAAGGTAGTTACATAGAATAACCTCCTTGTATATGTTCCAAGAAAGGCTTCCAGTTTCTCACAGGAGTCCTCGTAGTTAAGTTAAACGAATTTCTGTGTGTAAAATCCGACGAGATAACTAGAAATCATCGCGTTATGAATATAGCCCAGGGATGACAGCTGCCTACACGTTTTCTCCCTTCCAATGAGCCCGTGGTCTAAGCGGTACTTAAATAACAGATTTAGATGAAATTTGTTACATAATTTGTGTACAGCACCCATAATTTCACCTACGTACTACGGAATCATCTGATTGGCCGTTCAAGGTCACTAATTCGTTCACTAGGTAGTTCCTTTTTGGGGTGCTGTAGTTTAGAGTCACCACCAAAAAGAGATTCGTCAGAACGATGGATGATAAGCAGAAATGTGAAGGAGGCAATCGGCAGGAAGCCTTGCTTGACCTAGGGGTTTCGTGCTAGTTGGTATTCGCCTCCAACTATCTAATATCAACAAATCAATGTGCACCTTGATAGCGAGCTACCTAGTGGCATGGTGGCGACATTGTAAACCTGACTGACTGATAGAATTCAGTCTGCTCTAAAGAAACGACTAGACACACACATTACACTAATTACTGAGTAGTGTCCAATCAAAGAAAAGAATATTAACATGGGAGAACAAAAGGGTCTTTTCACAAATGGCAAATCATAAAGAGTGAATGCATCTTCGTCATCGAGGACAATTTCGAGTCGTATCATCATCAATTGTCTCCAGTCATTAGATCATAGAATCCCAACGACCCCAGCCAGACAGCAGTCTACACCTCCCTACATGGCTGGCATAGATTAATTATCAAAGATTTCATAGACTGATTCCAAGTCTTGGTTTGACCACCACTAGCTAACTCTTTTCCGACCTGATCAATCTTATATCAGCTAACATTGACCGTCGAGTAAGGCGATGATTCGGAATGCGTAACACATATATCCTAGCCATCTCAATCGATGTAGCTACATGCAATTAGGGTTCACACAAACAAACTGGCTTATAAGGCACAAAGGTATTATTGTGAATAAGTTGCATTAAATCAGAGCTCAACATATACAGTAAACGCAATACAAGACTTATATCAATTACGAGAAATACTCTCCCCAATAACCCACCCTCCCTTACCCAAGAAAAGAAATTTATAAAAAACGAAATTACAAAAACACAGACAGGATGTTGCTGTATGAGTAAAATGACATACTTTTCGAGTTCGATCACGGAAGGATACTCAGTCATAGAACCAGTGAAAACTAACAGGGGGTAAATCTGGACAGTTGTTTTTTCCTAGTTTGGAACTCTTCACCAGTGCACACCCATAATCCTATTGGGAATCGAACACATGACCTTCATTCAGGTCACAAGATGGACTCGATGCCCGGTGGAGTGCTTGGTGTGTACTGTCGAAGAGTAGTCCCAAACTGGGACGAAATAGCTATCCATTACTCCCCACCTGCTTGCTGGTTTTCAATGCTTCTCTAACTGTTATCAATCCGTGCCCAGACTTGAACCAACCAATTCTCTACAAAAACTATATTATTATTCCCTTGGGTTCCGGCTTCAACAACCACATCTCCACTTTGTTCTATCCTCTGCTATCCTATTCAGCTGGCTAACTTTTGAAAGACCTTGACTTTGGCTATGATGCTTTCATTTCGCCGACTACAGAAATATATTCTAATCACACAATCACAATTTTAAAGCACTTCTCTCCCAATGGTAAGAAACATTTTTTCTCGAACAAAAATATTGATTATCAACAATGACGAAATAACAAGAAAATAAAAAAACTTACCAAATTTCTTGCTTCTGATGGATGTGATTTCTTTCGTAGAGCTTTTAATCTTGAATTAATTGTTTTTAAGAGTTTGTCACGTTCTAAACCATAGACATTATTAGGTTTCGCTGAAGTTGAAAGATTACATGAATCAGTCGGCGATTGTATGCCTTTCTGGTGATTGGACGATACGTCTACCTATATCAAACAGAATAGAAAGAGAAATAATAATGAAACTCCTCTCTAAGTAACAAGTATTAAATAAATACCAACTGCAGGATTTGTCAACGATTATTATTCCAGGATTTCATCATGAGCTGACATTGGTTAGAGAACCATAGGAGTACTGGACAGCTGTTTCGTCCTGGTTTGGGACTCTTCAGCAGGACGCACCCACCGGGGTTCGAACCCAGAGGGCGATCCAGTGGCCCATGAATTCTAACTTCTGCAGCAGGTTGGGTGTGAGGACAAATACTTGCCAAAGACATCGTCTAGCGGTCGCGCTATGTCGTGAATTGGCAGAAGTTAGAATTCATGGACTGGCCATTGGATCAGGCCCCATGGGCTTAATGGTCTACGAGCCCGCCTTGTAACCAGAAGGTCCTGGGTTCGGACCCCGGTGGGTGCGTGCTTATGAAGAGTCCCGAACTGGGCTGACGAAACAGCTGTCCAGTACTCCCTGGCGGGTTTTCCAATGGTTCTCTAACCAATGTCAGCTCATGATGAAATCCTGTAACCAATCAATCAAATCCCTACAAACCAGCACTTGAATATTATTATTCCGCTGGATTCTGAATTACTGACCGATATAGGAGAACTGACTGACTTAAGATTGGCGTTGAAAATCCAAATTTTATTTTTCATGCTGATTGTAACAGGTTTCCACACTGACTTTAGATGAGTGAAGGTTTGCCTCACCTCTCTGACCCTAGTTTTGACATTCTCATCTGTTCTACCACCTGTAGTTGAAACGATGCTGCCTAGATAGGTGAAGGGAGTGACCACTTTCAAATTTTCTCCGTTGACAGTGATTATCTCTTGTTGTGGCTGGTTGGTTCTTCTCATCACCTCCGTCCTCTCTATGTACACTTGGAGTCCTGTCTTCTCTCTAATGACCAGTGTCTTCTGACAACTTGTCAGTTTTCGCCCGTAGCTCTTCGAGTCTGTGTGATATGAGACATAGATAGCCTGAGAAGTCCAGATCATTTAGAGTCTTCTTATTGGTACAAAGTATTCGTGTTTTCTCGCTCCTGATACACAGTCTTTCGCGTAATCCAGTTCACGAACATTAGGAATAGCATTGGTATTCTTTCTACTCCTGTCTTCACTTCACACGCATCGCTGAGTTTTCCATTATGGATTACTTGACACATGGCATTGTCATACAGCCGACTGTTGAATAAAGTTGATAAAGATTTGGGCACTGCAAGTCATAGTGTTGAAGTAGTTTCCAAATTACTTCATACTCAACGCTGTTGAAGGCCTTTTGAAAGTCAGTGAAGTTGAGGTAGAGGTTTTACTGCCATTCTATGCTCCGTTCAATGATGATGCATAGAGTTGCGATTTGATCAGCACATGATTTGCCTTTTCTGAATCCAGCTTGTTCCGGTGGGCGGAGTTCTGCATCTAGCGGGCCTCACACTCAACCTTACCTCTTTCCCGGGGTTACAACTGGCTAAGAGAGGCATTTCCTATCACTGTGAAGCACAATTCATCAAGCGTTGCATCGTTAACCTACCAATAGGGAACACGAAATGGGTGTAAACCGTCGTGAGACAAGTTAGTTTTACCCTATTAGTGACTATATTAATCAGTGTAGTACAATCCAGCCGTTTAGTATAACAGGGACCGCGGGTTCAGACAATTAGTATATGTGCTCGGTCGAAGGGTCAATTGTGCGAAGCCATCAGCTGAGGGATTAAGACTGAACGCCTCTAAGTCTGAATTCCATCTATATTTGCAATAGAATATTCTGTATCCTTCCGGTGTCTGGACTCGACTGTGTGCCCAGCTAGGCCCACTAGGTCTGGTGTTACCCTGGACCCCTGAATCACCGACGACACACCAAGAGTAACTATATATACATATACATATATATATATATATATATATATCGATCAAATCGCAACACTACGGATCATAATTGAACACAGCTTGGAATGGCAGTCACCTCTCTCTGTCTCAACTTCATTGACTTTGGAAAGGCTTTCGACAGCGTCGATCAAGAGGTGATTTGGGAACTACTTCGCTACTACGAAGAACCGCCAGCGATTACACATCTTATTCAACAGGTGTACGACAATGCTGCATGCCAAGTAATCCACAACGGAAAACTCACTGAATCCTTCGAAGTGAAGACGGGAGTAAGACAAGGCTGGCTGGCTGGCTGCCTACCATCTCCAATGATTTTCCTGATTGCAGTAAATTGGATAATACGACAGACAGCGGGCAGCGGGGAAAAAGGCATAAAATGGATCCACATAAAAAACTTGCAGGATCTGGACTTCGCCGATGACATATGTCTGATTTCCCACAAACTGGAAGATATGCAAGTGAAAAGCAACGAGTTAGCAGAAGAAGCATCCAGAGAAGTTAGGACTTTAGGTGAACATAGAGAAAACAGAGGTGATGAAGATGCCCGGCTAATAGCAAGAGCAACAACAACAGACAACAATCAGCCAGCATAAATGGGAGAAATCTGAAAGAAGTAACCTCCTTCACCTACCTATCTACCTACCTACGTGGGAAGCATCGTTTTAAATACAGGCATACGGAACTGACGAGAATATCAAAGCGAGGATCGTGAAAGCAAGGCAAGCTGTCACTACTCTCAAGTCTGTGTGAAGGCCAACAGCACTCCACGGCATGAAAAATAAGATCCGGATTTTCAAATCGAGAGTTAAGTCATTGCTACTTTATGGATAAGAGACTTGGCGCGTCATGAAGAGCACTACAGACCATCAACAGATGGTTTTTGCTTAATACTACTCAAGACCAGATGGCCAGAAAAGATCAACAACAGGCAGGGATCTCTGGGAGCAAACCAACCCAGCAGGAAGCAATTGTGCAACAAATATGCAGGAAGAAATGGTGGTAGATTGCTCATATTCTGAGAAAACAAAGCATCTTCAAGTGACATCACACGCCAGATCATCGTTCGAGCGGAAGCCGAATGGGAAGCGGCGAGCTGATCGTCAGTGCGAGGGTGACATGGAGGAGGAGGTCATGTGAAGAGATGAAAGCATATGGGCAGACGTGGAGCCAAATGAAAACGTTGGCAGAGAACCAAAAGCAATGGAGACGTGCGGATGAAGCCCTACGTTCCTCTAGGAACTAAATGAAACAATAATAATCATTCGCTTAATTACAACACGTACACCGAATGTTCACAGCACACATTATAGGCAAATATATTATCCACTTGCTTACCTTATAAGTCTGTTGAGTAACACAAAACTGGAAAATAGGAATTTTCATTTTAGGATAATTTTTGTGTAGATATGATCTAAACGAAATCGCAGTAATTAATAAGCATTCCTTCTTTAATAATATACATATACATACCTTAATTCACTATCTCCACTGTTCACATACTGTTGAATACGAAAAGCCAATGTTGCAGACGTTTGCTTTGTTGATGTTGTCGTGAAATTATTACACACTGGTAATACACAATTGACATCAATTCTTGCATATTTATCTCCAGGGATAAGCTAAATGAATAAATAGGTCAAAAATAAAGTTAAAATGCTCTACTTATGCTTGTGATGACAGAAGCAGAAATACAATTCCAACAATTCCACATACACACACCCTATAAGTGACCTGGCACAGCTGAGGGTTGGTTGCCTCCGGTTTTCCTCTTCAAATGTTCTCGTCATGGGGTCACGCGTTCACATATGCTGTCCTATTCTCACAAAAGTGAGACAGGGAATGCGAATTTTCGGAGCTTACCTCCGGAGCTTTCCGGAGGTCCACCCTGATTCCAAAACTATGGTGCACGTGGGCTCCAGAATCCGAGGAGACCGAATGGCTTATGGACCCACTTCAATCACCCACAACTACAGGAATGCAGCTTCTAGCGCTGCTCTGCTGCCTAGTGGATTATACGTCAAATCAAAGGCTCGATAAGTAATCCATAAGACAACAACGTTGCCTAAGTCTAGGTGTCCGGATAGTATCTCAGCCTTCACATTAGAGTAGTGCATCTCTTGGCGTTCATGAGGTTTATGTTTAAATAGTACAAAAAACTTCGACAACAGTTATACACACTTACGTGCACTATTAATGTTTAGCAACACAATGTTAAACCTTTCACTTTATCTGCCTAGTTAGCGGGTGGAGGGGGGAGGCATCTCTGACCAAGAAGCTAGCAATTTCATAAGCGATTAATAACGACAGGCGGAGACTTCAAAAATCAGTGTAACCGATTGCCCTAATGACTTATGGCCTTCTAACGACGTAATCACACTTTAGTTAACATTCCGGTAACACCTAGTAGCAGAGTCTGGAATAAATGTTTCATTTCAGCTGCAACACAACACAAAATTACACGTATAATCCAGGATGTTAATCCGGCTCAAAATTGATATCCATTATCTGAAATATCGACATCTTACTAGTTAAACTTTACAAGATTGACGTTAATCATGCTTTCAGGGTCATTTACCGCATACCTATGAATCTCAATTTCGCTTTAAGAGTTCGACTTCTAAATATTGCTGAGGCTGTGGGGATCCATATTAATCAGCCTAATTTATGCACCCAAAAGAAGTTAGTCCAGTCATTATCATTACCTTGGCCATCCAGGTTTGAATAATCCAGAATTTTTGTGAAATTTCCCTAATTTTAGTTGATATTCTATTCGCTGTTATATCTTTAATATTATTATTATAATTTAAGCATCTTTAATTAACTGCAATAGCACTGATCATACTTTACAAATCGATATTATTTAAAAAACGCTAATATTGTTATCAACTACTAATTTAAAATATTCTGTGTATAAAAACATATATATATATAATTGTAGAGCCTGGAAGAGGAATTTATCGAAAAGAATATTCTTTGCTCGATTATTTTGTTTTTTATAGATGTCTGAATGAACATTTTTGCAATATTTACAAGAAATCTTAGGGTCCCACAGTGAAGGAGAAATTTATATTGGTCATAATCCTAAAGCTTACTGATGATAATTATGTGACGTAAATTTTATCATGTACAAAATCAAATCCATACACAACTCGAAATCTCATTAATATTCCTTAACTAAAACGCCAACTATCGAGTTACTGAAACATATATTTTATGGACAGTTGAGAACCTATGGTATAACTGAGTAACTAAGTTTCAACATAGAACTTAGCATAGAAGTGCAACACTTTGAGTTGCAAGATTTTGGTAAATCAATAGGTTAAAATGCAAATGCAAGGCTTAAGATGAATTGACTGAAAAGCTAACTGATATCTGAGTTTTATACAACCTTCCGATCATTTGAAAGTACCTCATCAATAGAAGATATTGCAAGGGTAGATATGCAGTGCCAATTGGTATAGTGACACCTGAAATTCGTTGCAAAATGAATGCTTTTAAGTGTAAATGATAATGAAATAAGCAATAATAGAAAATAACCTATTCAATCATTCATAAATGTGAACAACTTTCCACTGAATTAGTGTATTCATTACCTCAACTACATCCAGTGTAGCTGCTTCAGCACCAAGTACACCAGATTTCAAGATTTCGTTTAAATGCTTCTTACATTGCAATAAATAACGATTACGACTGTTAGCTACGGTAGAGTATACACGGGACTATAAATCTAAAATGTCAAATATACATAATAAATATACAAACCAGAATTGATGTCATCCTGCTGATCAGTTTTGTATTAGGCACAGAACACAGAGTTATGCGCACATGAGATTCTTCGACCGTATTAGGACTTCAAAAAAACAAAAGAAAAACTGCGTTTTCCTATAAAAAGTAATGGAAATATAAACTATTATTAGCAATTGTATAAAGTATCCTACTATTATAACTACCAGTTCAAAAAAAAAAAACACCAGCAGTTTTTAACAAAATACGAATGGCTACAGGATTTCATGCGTCGGTGGCATAGCGGTTAGGACGCTCGCCGACCATGCACATGGTCCGGGGTTCGATCCCCGGCCCACGCACTCCTTTACCTCGCTAAGCCAGAAATAATGCTGGTGAAGAGAAAAGGTTGGGCATGAGGCTAGCAACCCCATCCTGTAAAATAAACACTGCTACAGAAACTTCAAGCCTCTAGCTTGAAGCCCTATGTTCCACTGGGAACGTGAAGGAAAGAAAAAAGAACAGGATTTCATCATGAGCTGACATCGGTTGGAGAGTCATTGGAAAAACCAGCTGGGAGTACTGGAGAGCTGCTTCGTCAGCCTAGTTTGGGACTCTTCATCGGTACGCACCCACCACCAGGATTCGAATCCACGACCTTCTGGTTGCAAGGCAAGCTTGTAGACCAATACTCACCGGTGATACTGGCTGGTGGTCACGCTATATCGTGGATTGGCAGAAATTCGAATTCATGGGCTAGCCATTCGATCCGGTCCCAGAGGCTTAATGATATCGGTCGGTCGGTCGGTTTTCGACATAGAACTTTGCACATATGTGCGGCAGTTCAAGTCACCACACTCCATGTAGCACACAAAGCAAGAGAAGAAAGTAGAAATGCATAATATAGACAGTAAACAGAGGTGTGAGACAAAGGAATAGTAATAACGGAGAACAAAACAGTTTCATTGGAAATCATATGTCACAAGGAGTGGATGCATCTGCGCTAGTCGTCGGGAACGATTTTGAGCCATGTCACCAATTGTTTCCAACCATTGGTTTTTACCGTCCCGAGGACCCCAACCAGTCAGGAAGTCTACATCTTCCTACGTGGCTTAGACTAACTGTTGTGGATTTCATTGACTGGTGCCATTTTTTCGTTTGACCGCCGCTAGCTCTTTTCCAGCCTGGCCCTATATCAGCTAATATTGCCCGTCGAGGAAGACGATGACTAGGCATACGTAACACATGTCCCAACCATCTCAGTCGATGTAATTACACAGTCTCGTCGATTGATTTCCCCTCCTTACCTAGCACTCGACGCCTAACCTCAATATTGCTCACCTTATTATACCACTTCACGCGGGAGATAGAACGCAGACACCTATGATCGAAGACAGCTAATCTTGTCATGTCTTCTGCTCTCAATGGCCAGGTCTCACAGCCATAAGGAAGGACGGAGCGGACTGTTGAGCAGTACACACGCCCTTTGGTCGATAGTCGGATATCGCGTCTACGCCAGAGACGGCGAAAACTGGTATATACGAACCTAGCCCTCTGTATTCGTGCTGAAATTTCGTCTGAGATCAACCCGTTGGGTCTGATGGTACTTCCCAAGTAATTGAAGCGGTCAACGTGTTCTACCACTTCACTTCCTATTTCTAATCTAGGGGTCGGTGAAGTCCAATCCTGCAGATATGATATTGGTTATCTAACCCATGTCAGCTCATAATGAAATCCTGTAACTAATCAAATCCCTGAAAACCAAAACTTTAAAATACGCATGATTAAAGTTATGTGGATTCATGAGATAACTATCCATCGGAAATAAAGTCATAGTGAGTTTGATTACATAGTCAACCGGCTGACTGAGTTTCAACATACAAACTTTGCACAGAAGTGCAGAAGCTTGAGTTGCCACAGTCCACGTACAACAGAAAAAAAAAGCTATGAGGAGCAAAAGTTTATGTGAGAAAGAATGGCAACATGGAAAAACATCAGAATTTAATGGATCTGGGAGACTATAAAGAATGGATGCATTGACGAAACGAAATTACAAATTCTAAGAAACTCACTCAAAGAAGCAATAACCGTTAAATAAAAAAATATCGATGTATGAAGGTGAAAGAATAAACAAATGTTCCTTAACAAAACCAAACTTTCTACAATTATTTCCTTTGATAAACTGCAATACAACACTAAATATGTTCTTGTTTTGTTCATAACCTGACTTTCCTTCTTCTAGTCTAGCTTAATCTATAATAACTAGTAAGAGTCGCTTAAGTTTTGGTACGCACATCAACAGAGGGGTGGAATTTTCCACGTCATCATCAAGTACCCAGACTTTTTGTGTCAATCACATCACAAGCTATTATCTGAACAGTCCAGCTAAAGAAGGGCTTATTTCATCTTTCAAGAATACTGTACTGTTTTCACGCCAGTTGAGTTTCAGATTTCTTTTGTGATGTTGTCATTTTTGTTTCTGTTTCTGTAAGAGGCGGATTCAGGTGTTTCAGCTGTCGATTAGTGTCACTCTCCAATGGATGACATATATTATGCACTGCAATGTATGCAACAAGTAGATCTATCAAGGTCTGTCTGTCTGCGCTCTTAGAAGTGTGTGTGGGTAGTTATTACTTCCCGGCTGCCCACACCATGGAAGTTGTCTGACTCTTCGGGTACCTGAAACAGAAAGAGGGTTAGTGTTGCGTGACCGTAGAGCCCAGGGGACAACTGCTTGAGGCCGGCCGGTTAAACACGGCCTGTATGAATTGGTTTCTTGGATTGGTTCCGTATTAGTAAACTTACCACCGGTTATGGACCACCGTACAGTAAGTCGGGATGTACAGTTTTTGGGGTCGACCTTTCCTAACCCCCTCTCTCCAGAGTGGAGAGACAACATAGCTGGCTGGCATGCTGATCGTCTGAGGGAAACACCTCACTGCTGTTACATCCCTGTTTCCCAGCAGTACGACTCCAGCCACAGACCCCCAACAAAGTGCAAAAAAGAATATTACACTATGCCGGTAACTGCTTTTAGTCTAATCACTATCCTAACAACCTTCCTGGCATAGTAGAACCTGCAGGAACAATAGTTCCAGCCAATGTAGCTTGTTGGGTCATTGCGATGTGCAAGCCCGACCACTAAGTCAAGGTAGCAGCTATCGGTTAGGAATCTATCAAGGCTCTTATCCAACAGACATTTGGACTTCTCATATTCAAGAATTTCACACTAAAATTAGCAGAAGACTACAAGCTGGGATTTTAGGATACTGCCATGGCAGAAAACTTTGAGCAGAACCAAGAGGGTGAAGCAGAAATTCACTACAAGGTAACTACTAACAGGAAGACCCAAAGTCCGAAATAATCTAATATTAGGAGCCAGAGAGTGCCTCGACAATTTGCGTGGGCAAGTAGTGCAATTACTTTTAAGACCAGCCGGTCAAAATACCAACTAATGAATACTTCGCTCTTGTTTGTAGCAAGACCATGGTGAATGCATCCGATTCCACATGAGCATATGTAAACGGGAGAAACCGAGAAATACTACGACATATAATGTTAAGGTCTCTACGACCCCTGATATGGAACAGAATTCTGATTCTGTTGAGAATATTGAGGAAATTGTAGAATCAAGTCGGTCGGTCGGTTTTCGACATAGAACTTTGCACATATGTGCGGCAGTTCAAGTCACCACACTCCATGTAGCACACAAAGCAAGAGAAGAAAGTAGAAATGCATAATATAGACAGTAAACAGAGGTGTGAGACAAAGGAATAGTAATAACGGAGAACAAAACAGTTTCATTGGAAATCATAAGTCACAAGGAATGGATGCATCTGCGCTAGTCGTCGGGAACGATTTTGAGCCATGTCACCAATTGTTTCCAACCATTGGTTTTTACCGTCCCGTCAGGAAGTCTACATCTTCCTACGTGGTTTAGACTAACTGTAGAATCGAGTCCAGTTATACGTCATGAACATGGTCTCGGATTGGTGAAATCAGTATCCTGGTAACTAATTTCATAAGCAACAGACGCCGCACATTTTAGAAAGGTCAACAGAATTGGTAAACGGAATAGAGAAGTTGGTGACAGTTCCAACAGACTACCAAATGTCTTACTACATAATGAGAAAGAAAAGAACGCCATTCTGAATGGGAATATGAAAAGTAGCCATTAAGAAATGGGACTGAGAGGAGAGAAACAGTAGCTGAATTGAAAAATTGGCTGAAAAACTCAGGAATCGAGATTCCAGACAATTAGGATGAACAATTTGGTAATTCTGTATGGCATACACAAGACTATAGCCTAAGGAACAAGGAGTTTGAATTCGAAGAGTTATTTAAAAGACCGCAACTCGACACAGTAACAATTACTGAAGCATAATTAATAGGGGAATTGCATCACACTCCACTTAAACTTGGATGTGTTTATGTCAGAGAAGGTACCGACATTAGTTGTATAGATTGTGACGCAACTCCGTATATTAGAAAAGGTATAGGAATGAAGTCAACGATGTCACAAGTCCATGACAGTGATACTCAAGAGGTAGTTACTTGTAACCATGAGAGTTATGTACTAAAGTCCCGGCTGCCACGTGGATGACTTCATATAAAAAACAACTTGCATGTAATAGGTGTTTGGAAGCAGTATCACCCTATACACCAAATCGGAGGGGTTAACATGGACCCGTTTGTATAACTGTCTCAATAGCGAGATTACACTGCCTGTCTTAGAATGTGCACTTGTACAGAATGTACAAGTACCAACACTGTATGACCAAGAGTATGACCCCTTTGTTCTTAACTTGCTACCTACACTCTAAAAGGTGATTATCAGCAACACCTCTAGGAAGCAGTGACCATATAGTAATAACGTCTACATAGGCCAGCACTTTGCCATCGAAATATATGGTGAGCTGACACATTAGCAATCAGGAATGCGGCAGCCTAAGCTGGCTGGTTTGTCAAAATCGACCATGTTATCGAAGCTGCCTGAGTGAAATATAGGAATACATTTGAATATGTTACATCGCTTTACATTCCTTAGTGTATACCTTGGAGGCCACTTCATAAGCCTCTTTCGATAAAGAGACAAGAGAAGGTAATTAAGGGATAAATAACATATATGGGATTTGAGTGTCCTAGTTAGGCCTACTCTGTAAACCATAAAGGTTGATCTGAGATAACAGCCTAAATGGTTCATCTAGGTAGAATGCAAAGGATGGGAGTTAATGGAGTACTGTGGGTGGAAGTCTGTCTCGATTAGGGTGACACCAGGCACTACTCTAGGTCCTTTTGTCATCTTCGCTATAGGTCAACGAATAACTCGAAATTTTAATTTCATCATTATCTGCAGATAATACGATTTTGATAAACTAGCCGTATGCTCTAGTCACTAAAGTTTGAAAACCAATTCTAGAAAAGTGTGGGAATACATCTAGATTAGTGATTTTCCTCTCAACGCACATCTGGAGTAAAGGTGGGGAATGGAGTCTTCTGAAGTCAAGGAATAAAATGACTTGAGAACTGATATCAGTTACAAATTACACACTGCAGCCAAGGTGTTTCGAAGGACTCTCAAATTCTCAGAAGAGGAAATGTTTAAGGTACTCTACTCAATGTTTGTTAGGCCTTATCTTGAATACTACACTGAGACTCCTAGTCCATGCCTCAAGTATTGAAAAGATAACGGGGAGTAAGGAATAATCTAAGGAAATAAATGGAAGCTTAGCTTTGGATACATCAAAATTGTTGTAAGCCAATGGACTTATAGGAAGAGCTATCAGATCTGAAGTGAAAATTACCGGAAAAAGTAAGAAATGGAGAATGTTGAATCGAAGATTCTACAAGATTTAAGTGAAATAAGAGGGAAGAACTCTACGCATGCAGTTAAGTGGTTCACTAGCTTAAACACTAGATTTTCAGTCAATGGGTTACAGGTTTAAGTCCCGCTACACCTATGTCGGTCTGCAAACTTTAGCAATATCACCAGCCCCTATGCAACAGGCGTGGCACATAGTTGTCCAACTAATGTCAACTTGTGATCAAATCTGTAACATGAAAGATCTGTCTCAGGTAATTGAGTCCAAACAAACTCAAAATATGGGGGAATGAAGCAAAACAACAGTTGAGAATGAAAGAAGAATAAAAACCTGATGTACGTGTATAATCTGGAGGTCCTGGTGATATGTTATTCCATCCTGATTCGCTTGTTAGTGAAAGTATTATTATTCAGTAAATAACACGGTTTCGAGATCCTTTTTCTCCCCACACTGCATATAACAGCTTACTAAAAACGATTACTTAACACCAACCAAATATAGCATCCTAGCCGACAGTAATTCCAGGCGCACTCCACAACGCACAACAACAAAAAACTTTAGGAATAGTCAACCCAAACAAATTTCAAGGGTATCTGGATGTTTTACAGGGTGATTTGGGAACAATGTAAAGATGTGGAGGAAATACATTTCACCTCAGAACCACAATGAAAACGCAGGGCCTTTATATCTGGACAAGTGTTGCGTGCACCTGACGCCTATGAAAGACAATTTCAACCACCTGAACCTGATTCAAATACCGATAATGCGATACCAATCGTCAAATTTTTGCGACAAATCATACCACTATGAATGAGGCATGAATAGATCTACCGCTGCAAAAATAAGGACACAGCTTTGGATATCACCAGGAAAAATATTTGTTGAAGTGTACCCAGGGTTGTTGTTGGTTCTATTTCTTTGGCACCAGGACACTACAGTACATGAAACCTAATTATTCAGCTAAAATAATAGAAGAGTCAACTGTTATCATAGGCCAGCTAGCAAAGGCATCTTGAACACTACATAAAAGCTGAGGAACAAACAATCGGCTTAGTATCGGGCACTAGGACTTGATGTGCTGATAGGGTACTTTCCAAGTGTCAGTCGCATCCCATAGTGATTTTGGAGCTATTTCGAAGTTTCTCGACGTATTTTTGGGGGTGGATTTTCGGAAGAAAATGTTGCATCCCCCAGAATTCCCCCGATATTTTTTTATTTGAGATTTATTCGGAGAACTTCTCATCAGGTGATAAGATAGAAGAAAAGTAACTAAATAGCACCTACTACTAAAAATCATCTGAACAATATATATAAAACTAGTCACTTCCGATATCTACGTATTTTAGAACGAAATTTACGAGTACCTATGTTACTTTCATATCCACTGCTTCTTAAGGTCACACTCAAGGTCCAAACATTCCAATATCCAATATCCTGATTACGAGCTAGTATAAACCAGTGATTTCTTTGAGCTCGCTTCTTGATTTTAAGGTAGAGGTTCCAGATCTTCGGTGAACTTATGCGTAGTAAATCCCGCCACTCGACTGCTTTAGCTCTGGTAGACTCCAGGAGGAGTGATGCGAGGATTGGTCAAGATTGTGGTTTGTAGTGTGCAGTATGTTAGGACTCAGCTGCTGCCGTGAATGGAGTTTGACCTAACACCCGTTGGTCATTCGGTATAGTCATAAAAGTAGAGTAATAATAATAATAATGATAATGATAATAATAGGTTGTAGTGTAGATAATATAGGTTGAGATAAGTGAAATAATAAAGAAAGAAAGAAAAGATAGAGTAGTTGGTACAGTGGGAGAAGACAGGACGGGTCGTGGGGATTTAGCTTGTATGCTTATCCATTGACAATGTGGTTTCAAATTTTAAGAGGGTAAGCCATTGAGACACAAACCATGCATTTCTGCATGATTGTCCAGCTTCCGCTTAAAAATCTCCACAGATGGAGCTGTAGTTACGGCCGCCGGTAAAGCGTTCCAGAGACGGCAAACTCGAAGCGAAAAGAAATGTGAACGCACTCGAGTCCTTGGTCTCTGGTGTGCTATCCTTAGCGGGTTACCTCGTGGAAGCCTATAATCACTTAATGGCAGGATGCTCTTATCAGGATGGGCCTGGTCATTTAGGATCTTATAGACGGTGATGAGGTCTCCCCTGTGACTACGGTAACTAAGTGTGAAAAGACTTAATTTCTTCAGTCTCTCCTCATATGATTTGTTGCGGAGGCCGATCACCCATTTTGTCGCTCGTCTCTGGACACTTTCTAGCATGTTAGCATCCCTTTTGAGTAGCGGAGGAGCAATGATATTATGCACCTCAAGGAGTGGCCTCACGTATGTCGTATACAACGTTAGGAATAGTTCAGGAGTAAGAGCTCCCAGTTGCCTATGCATAAAGTGTAAAGTGCCGTAAGCTTTGGCGACGTCCCTCGTGTAATTTACACTGGTGTCTAGCTTTTCTGTTAAAATAAGGCCTAGATCGCGTTCTGATGGCACACAACTCAAGTTCTGGCCACCAAGGGTGTAATTTGCACTCTGTGACCTGCCGGAATGAAGTTGCACTACTTTGCACTTCTTTAAGTTGAAAGGCATTCCGTTAGCCAGAGCCCAGTCCCCCAGCGTTTGCAGGTCAGCCTGCAATCTGTCGGAGTCTTCCGATGAGTTTATTGCTCTCCAAATCTTTACGTCGTCAGCGTAAAGAAGCGCAGAGCAATTCAGTTGACAGGGCAGGTCATTGATAAAAATCAAAAACATCAACGGCCCTAAGATAGAACCCTGAGGAACCCCTGATGCCGAGGTGTGCCAGGATGATCGGATGCGGTTGACTTTGGTGCAGAATTCTCTCTCGCCT